GCACACGTCGCAAAGTATGGTGAGGTTCAGAGTAGCTTTGCACAGGCCGCCGAGCGAGCGAATCTCAACCCTAACCTATCAGCTAAGGTCACGTGCAAGTGCCTGCAAGACCGGTTCAAGAAGCTTATGGATGCGTTTGAGCGCAAGGACAACTCCGAGCGCCGCATGTCAGGGATTGGCGGTGAGGTGGGTGAGCTGGATGAGATTCTAGGTGGGATGCTTGAAGCGCAGAAGGACATCAAGAAGGCGAAGGAGTGCACCAAAGTGGCGAAGGAGGAAAAGGAAGAGCGCAAGCAGCAGATTGGGCGGGCCTTGGTTGCTAAGGCCTTGGCAAGGAGGAGTACAACCGGAAGTGGAGATGAAAATGCGGATGGTGAGGAGGTTCTTTGTGTGACGGGAAAGGGGAGAGGAAAACGCAGAAAGATCGATTTACATGGAGGTGTGGGTCTCGTCAGCCTTGGCCAGTCTCTGAAGGAGGCTGACATGGCTCGCATTGACGTTGAGCGTGAACGCCTTGCGCTAGATCGCGAGCGCATGCAAATGGAGCGGATGGAGCGCGCAGAAGAGCGCGAGCAGAGGCGCGAGGACCGCGAGGCGCACGACAAACTCGAGATAGAAAAATTCTGCCTCATGATTGAGGCATTCGCCGGAAAGAAGTAGGTTTGCAGTAGCCGAATAAAGGTTCTTTTACTGATTACGGGAGTCTGTCGGCCATTCTCAGGCCTTTTTGAGCTTCAAATGTCGCTGGAGGCCCTGCCGGGGGCCCTTGGGCTTCTGGACGAAGTCCGCAGCTCGCCCTGTCGGGCGCGGACTTGGTCCGTTCTCCCTACGGGCCCCCGGCAGGGAGGGAGTCGATCTTGTGGAGGTATTGGCTGAGAGGAAGCGGCGCACAGTCGAAGTACTGCGAAATTGTGTTCGGGTAAACACAGTTCCTCATGTTGGTTAGAAGCATAGATGCCAAATAAATTTCTCCTACCGGTGATTCCGCTATACGCATCTTGCGCTTGAAGTCTACGGTAGTCCAATAAAGCTTCACTTCCTTGAAAATCCACTCAACGGTCACTCGCACTTTTGACATTGCCATGTTCAGGGCCTTCTCATAGTTTGTCAGATTGGACCCCTGGAACGGTACCTCCATGAATGAACGTATGTTGTAGCCAGAATCTCCATACAGGCAGTACTGTATACCATTGACAAACAACATCTCATCCAACATCTCGTCAATTCCACTCCTTACATAAAGCGTCCAATCATGCCTGCGTCCCTCTGTTGGACCATATGCATTCAGTATCAGCCCGTCAGGGGTCGTTACAGCCTGGTACTTCAACGCGTGTTTCCTCTTGTGACCATTATATGACACGTTTTGTGCCTCTGCATCACCGGTACGCGCAACGGCAATGACAGTGCCGTTTATGAAACCGATGCAGTTGTCCAACGCATCACTTTTTCTATGTATGGCTGCTGAAAATCTGCATGCATTTCGATGTATGAAAGACTCTGGTATTGGCCCTGTAAGTAGCTCTTTTCTTGTACTCAAGAACCTTTCCAGACCTTCCCAAAATATCTCCGATAGCTGTGGAGCATGCCTACCGAACATAATTTCCATGTCACTCCAGCGAGCGGGAGTGCTCATTCGTCCCAAGATTATACACGTCACCAACATCGGATTGCACGAGTACCTGTTGCGTGTAGTAGTACCTTTAAAAAGAGACCACGCTATTGCTTCAACCATTTGAATTAGATGTTCTTTTCTAAATCTAAATAGACGCAGACAATCCAGTTCGGTTAAGGAGTTGAGGTTGAAAGAGAAATTTGACAAAGAGATACGGTTAGCTCGTAAAATGAATCGTTGACCCTCTACTGAATGACTCTGATACTCTTCCAATGCTTTTAATAGGACATTTGAAAGTGAAACGCTGTTGTTACGGCTAGCCTGACGCCTCCGCATTAACACATAGGCAGCAACTTCCCATGTCTGCTTCCTGATTGCCGTCCGCGCGTAGGAGTGGTCTCTCTGACGTCCTAGACTCATGTTTTTGTGCAGTACCTACTCTACTTGTCATTACGATTTTCGAGCCTTTTTTGCTAGTACTCACAACTGTAACGGATAGTCGTTTTGCGTAATGCACATCTTTTAGAGCATCCCCACCGCGTCTATTCTATTGCCGGATAGAAATACAACGTGTACGCTGACCATTCGCCGGTTGCCCGAATTGAATTTTGTGCCTATTCGTCAATCTATTCGTATGGAATCTATTCGCGTCAACCCCAACGCATATGTTGCAAATCTATCGCTATATGCCCGCGCAGACAACGGCGAGACGTCACACATCGTCTGCGCAGAGGCGATCGTTCATCGAGACGCTCACCCCCCGCCGTGAATCCCGCGCGGCTGCATGTCTCTCTTCCGCAGCCTGTGCCCTCTTTCCCTCTTCGTCGCGCGCCCTCCCTCGGGTATTGTCCAACTACGCGCTCTCACGAGTTATCATCGCCAATGGACCGGAGAACAGTCCTCGGAAGCGTCCTTCAGTACAGTATATGGACGACAGCGATGGCGATGATGAAAGCATCGTCGCGAGCATGCACAGGTCACGCGCCACCGGAATGCATGCTGCAGCGACGAAGCAGAGGAGGTTCTCGGGCGAGAAGGATGCACAATTGGCCAGAATTCGGCTGACACGCCTGGCACGTGGCATTCTATCACGGAATCTATTCACCGGATAGAACGTTTTTAGAATCTATCGGCGCTCGGATAGATCCCAAAATTGTTCTATTCGATTTCGGAAAGCGATAGAATTGCGCGGTGGGGTTGAAAATTGTGAGCGGAAATTCTATTGATCAAATAGATGTGCGCGGTGGGGTTGCTCTTACATAAAATTTGCTTTTCAGGAAAGCACTTTTCTGGAATCTACAACTACTAAAATCGTTGTCTGTGTGTGTGTCTGTATGTCCTTGCGCTCCCGCGTTGCCATTGGCGCTACCGTGACAAGTGGCGGCCACGGGCGGGGCCTGGCCGCAGGCCAGGCCGCCACGGGGACACGTGGCGGTGACAAGTGGCGACAAGTGTAACATTTTAAATTAAAATTACTGTGCGGACTGCGGGGCGGGGTCCCACTACAGTACAGGCTGACAAGTGGCGACAAGTTAAATTTTAAAATTAAAATAACTGTGCGGACTGCCGAGCGCGGCCGCGCTACAGTACACTACAAATTTTCGCCCGGATCCGTTTAAACCGCGCCACGCGGATCTACATTGTGGGCGGAACTGGGGCGGGCACTGCGAGCACGTGACGGCGGTGTGGTAGATGGACGCGTACGACAGGGGGGCGGACGCGTGAGACACGGGGCTGCCCGAAATACCGGAGGCTCGTGGCGACGTGAGCGGGGCGGTGGTGCGCGGGGGGCTGTGCGTGCAGGGGCCGGAATTCTTCAAGGCGGAGTTGCGCAGCGCGTGGTGCTCCGACTTTGGGGGGTGGATGTGGATGCGCGGTGACGAGGAAGCGCGGGCCGGGGCGGCGACGGGCGGCGATAGGGACGGTGGGCTGCAAGATGATCTTTCCAGCACACTGGCTTGGGTGTTCGGCCATGACGTGGAGGAGATGTGGGCTGGGGCAGCGATGGGGACGGTGGGGGAGGGTAGGTGGAGGGCGCCGAGGCGGGGCGGCATGGATCGCCACACTCGCGCGTGCGCGTGGGGGAGCAGAGGGCGCGGGAGCGGACCGGGCCAGAGCTGGACGGCGTGGAGTACTACAAGGGTCTTCAACCGGGCGCGCGTGCCGGGGGGCGGGGGAGGCGGGACGGCGAGCGGGCTTCAACCGGGCGCGCATGTGGGGGGGCAGGGGAGGCGCGACGGCGAGCGGGCGCTAACTGGGTTGCTCAGAGACGGTGACGGACGTGGTGTGCCGGGTAGCAGCGGAGGCAGGCGTTGACGCCATGGTGGGCGAGTGCGGCGGGTGGGACGGGCGCGCGCGCAAGATCGCGGACGCAGTGTGCATGCAGCTCCACGCAAAGCGGTTCCAAGCGGCGGCGGAGACTCTGCTGGACCGGCAGGCGGGCGAAGAGCGCGTGGTGGCGAGCTGCGTGGAGCTTCTGCGCAACATGAGCGGGCAGCACGCGGCGAAGAGCGCCGTGCGCGGCGAGATGTGGCGGGCGACGTGCGTGGTGGGTGGCAGTGGCGGGGCGGACGGACGCCGGCGTGGCAGAGACGTTCTGCGGGCTGGTGGGCGGGGTGTGCCTGCGGCGCGGGGACGTGGTGGACGGGTGCGCTTAGGAAGGGGCGGTCGAGGTAGTGGTGAGAGCGGTGGCGCGGAGGGCGGCGGCGCCGGCCGCACGCATCACGGAGGTGCGAAGAACGGGGAAAGTGGTCGCTGCGAGCCGGGCAGGTGTCGCAGCCGGCGGTGCAGGAGGGCGCGCGCAGGCGGGTGGGTGCCGGGAGCCGCCGCCAAGTAGCAGTGTTAGGCGGAAGCGAGCGGCGGCGTGGAGGGCAGCGGCGCTGACCATGTTTGCGGGCTGCAGGGACCGAACCGCGGCCGGGCGGGAAGGCGACACAAGCGGGCGGCGGCGCTGAGGGCGGCGGCGCGGACCGGGCGCGACGCGCAGGGGCGAGTAACGTGTGGCAGGACGAGGGGGCAAGGGGCGACAAAGACCGGAGAGAAGACGGGAGAGTTAGCGCAGAGGGAGGGGGAGCAGCGGGGCGGGGAACGACAGCGTGTGCAGAACGAGGAGCGGAGGAGGAAGGGACTTGGCTTGGCGCGCGAAGCGCGCACGGAGCCCACTTGTTGGAAATCTAAAAAATTGTGAAATCCTTTTCTGAAAAGCTGATTGCGTAAACCCACAACTCTCTAATAATTGGTCTCAACGCCGTCAGCCGCCCCCACACCCCGCACCTTCGTACGCCATTCTCGTAGCACACCCCCGCCCTCGTCGCGCCACATTTTCCCCTTCACCTCCTCCTCCTCTCCCGTCCGCCGCTCGGTGCACGTGCACGCTCGCGCGGTCGGTATGCGTCTAACCTCCGAACTGGTGCAGCAGTCTACGGCGGTGCTGATATGCGTGGGGGACCAGACGCTGGTGCTACAGAACCTGTCGATCCCTGCGATCGAGAACCTAGAGAGCGCGCGCGACGGGTTCGACACGCTGGACCTATCCAACAACGTGATCACGACGGTGGAGGACACGTTCCCGCCGTTCCCCCGTGTAACGACGATGCACCTGGGCGGGAACCGGATCGCGCGGATCACTGGCCGGCTCGCGCAGTCGCTGCCAAACCTGCGCACGCTGGTGCTGACGGGGAACCGGATCGCGACGGTGGCCGACCTCAACCTAGTTGAGCTGCGGCGGCTCCGGCGGCTGTGAGTGCGCGGTAACGCGGTGTCGCGCGCGCCCGGGCTGCGCGCGCGCGCGGCCGAGCAGCTGCCGCAGCTGGAGCTGCTGGATTTTGGGCACCTGCGAGCGAGCGGCGGCGGCGGTGCGCCGAAGGAGAAGGCCAACGGCGGCGCGCGCGAGAGCGGCGGGGAAAAGGGCGCGGGGGGGCTGTCGCAGGAGCAGCGCGAAGGCGTGCGCGCGGCCGTGGAGAAGGCGGGCTCTGTCGCGGAGCTGGCGCACATCCGAAAGCTGGTCAGGGACGGCGACGTGGCGCGGCTGCTCGCGGAGCAGGGAAGGGGAGCGAGACCGCGCGCGTAGTTTTCAAAGCTGTTGCAGCCTCTGCCGGCGAAGGACTTTCTCGTTGAGAGAATGAATCGAATAGTCTTCCTCGCTCATTTTCACGCGAAAGCGATCTTGGGAGTATGCTGCATCGCGAATCTCGCGAGCAATGTACCACAGGGTCCGCCTCGAGACGTCTGTTGCCCCAGGTGCCACTTCTAGTATGGCGTCCGGAATTGCGGTTGCAGTGGTCAAGACGGATACAGCATTCGACGTTAAGCTGCAAGCCAACAACGCAACGCCTTCAGTATGGGCTGCAGCAGTAGAGCAGAACAAAAAGTCTGAGCACGGGCTACTGGAGGACCTGATCTCACTTCGGAAAATCCTCGTCCCTTGGAAACGGGCAAAAAAGCCAAGTCGCGATCACGTCAGCCTCCACAAGTGGGCTCAGGATGATTGTGGTCGTTTATTGGAGTATCGTACATTCCAGGACTCGCCAGAGCCGTATATAAAATGAGCTGAACTACTGTATCAAATGCTCTCCGGAAACCCTCCGGATACTGTACGCTTATTGTCACGATTTTGAAAACTTTGCCAAACTGACTCCAGTGGCCATCCGGAGACACTCCGTTCTGCATACGTGTGGTCCGTAGAGCCTCCGCAGTACCTCCGATGAGCATGCATTAGGTTTACTAGGGGTAGTACTGGAGCTAGGCTTGTCGAGCAAAGCCAGTTACGACGCTGAAAAAGAGGACTCTGCGAAAGAAGAAGATGAGGAGGGGAGTAACTCGAAAACTGCAGTCGGTGCGAACCTGCTTGTCACTTCGTTTGGAGCGACGCGAGCAAAATCAATCGTGCCTTTAGAAGAAGACCTCAAGCAGGAGGCTACGATTTGTGCAAGGAGGCTACGATTTGTGCAAGGAGGCCATCCATGGGGAAGGCAAATGCGGCACGCTTAGTGCGATTGCTGCCGCAAGGCGAGAATGTGGGTTTTTAATACCAATAACTGTAAAGCTCTGAGGTTCAGGGGGAAGAAAAGTCTGTCTAAAAGCCTGAGCGGTGCCCAAGTCCCGGCGGTGGAGCATGAATGACGGAAAGGGTCAGTTCAGCGTCACAATCTGACAAATGTGCAAGCTCTAGGTAACGCTTTACAGTGGGACTGACAAAGTTGGAGGGTTCATTTTCGAAGATAACCCACCAATTATACGAGAGCGAGTAGAGGGTTTTAATAGTGGAGGGTGTAAGTTGTGCCAAGTGAAGTTGGTGACGCAGGAGAAAGATTGTGGTTTATACGTTCTTGCAGACCGAACAGAATGTCTCTCAGAGACAGCACAAGGATGAGGTGACTTAGCAGAAAGATTTAGAAAAGGTGACTTTCTTCAGCCTTAATTCTTCGGTTGTATCTGTTGCTGAACTCGGCTCCCACTCACCGCTTCGGAAACATGAGATGAATGCAGGCACGCTCAGGCTGAGAAAATCCCTATCATTGTTCAACTTGTGTGCTTCTGGTGTCGGCATCGACGCAGGAAAAAGCAACTCAAGAAGAACAAAGCAAACACGTATGCCGTATTAGTTGCGACAAGACTTGCATCACTCACTATAAAGCGCAACTGCCCAAGTTGAACGAGCGTAAAGTTGAGATAAACCAACAATGCCACAGGCAGCGAACCTAACAAGAACCAATGCACTTTCTGCCGACGCAGCAGGGCAAGCGCAACGCCCAACACCCCCCAAAGAATCATCACAATTCCGGTGGCAATTGTAAATCCAGGCTCCGTGCCGGCATGGGGCAAGAAGAAGAATATTGTTCCATTAACATCCTCAATTTTTCGGAACAACTCCGTATGAGAAAGGACACCCCCTCCAAGCACGAGCGTCCACAGCCCTGCAAGCGCTACGTTGGCATTCCAAAAGATTGCATGGGCCTGCATAACACCAGAGGACCACTTCCCTTTCGTGGAAGACGAACTCGCCAGTCTCAGCATAAAAATCACTTGCCCAGCGAACAAAGCAATTGTGAAACAAATTCTCGTAAGCAGAGCCATGCTCTCTGCGCCGCGGAAGAGCGAGACATCCGAGACAGGGCGTCCACCAAATGATATGAGGTTCCTGATGCGATAGATGGGGTCTGCGAGATTGTACACGGCGAATACGAACAGGTTAAGGAGCACAGTGCCAAGGACGCATGCTTTGATCTTTTTGGCGCAGACGGGTGACTCAATCAGTGAAATCAGTCCAAGCATGAGCCCGATGAAACCGAAGACGAGCTCGCAAATGGAGGCAATGAAGGAGGCGACAGGTGGGAACAATTTGACGCCCTCTGGTCGGCCAAGATCTTTCACGTCAATTAATGTGAGACGGATGCCGCCCTCGATGAAGATGAGAAGAGAGAATAAAGTAAGAAGGGCGGCGCTTTCTACAGCCATTTGGGGGATGGATGTGGCGGAGAGACGGGTGTCTTTGCGAAGGGCATCGGGGTCTTCCTGAGGGCCTGGTCCCACGATATCGTCAGGCATTTCGGCTGCCGCGCGCTCGACGTCCATATTGGGGAGCTGCTTTCGGAAGTAGCGGTGGGGTTGAAAGAGGATTCTGGCGGAGAGCGAAAAGGACTTCTACAAGCGTATACCATGTCGATCAATGCTTTAAATAGGAAAACCGAGTCGCCATCTGCATTCGGCGGGGCCGGCTCATCTCTAGCGAGCGACGACATACGGTGCCGAAACTACGGTACTGTCTCCCACAGCCAAAAAGGGCTGGCCAAACCCTGGACATCAGCCGTTCAAGGTCGGGGCTTCCATCTGAAAAACGGCTTCTAACCCCGGTGGCACCCGGGACACTGCCGCTCACCACTCCCGGATTGCTCCCTGTTGCTCTTGCCGTCCCGCAGCTTGGTTTTCAGTGCTGTAGCAACAGGATGTGTGATAAGGCAAGCCACAGGGTGCGAGGGTGGGGGGGAATTTGATCTGAGTCTGTGGGAAAGTTCGAAGCGCGATTGACATGTTGTATGGACTTGTCGACAAGACCGCATGACGAGGACGGCACAATGAGATCGTTCCGACTCCACATGGAAATATTAGAAATGCTCTTGCCATTGGATGATTGCTGCGAGATATTTTAAGATTTGAACGTGGCGGGCTCGCTTTGGTTCTATCGAACTGCGATTCCTCTCAAATGGACGCTACTCTGTGCGTAGAGGTCTTTGCCGGTACAATAACATGATACTGTACTATATTTCTAAGGGCGGTAAGGCAGCAAAGACGTCTTTTGGATCTTCCACCGCCGGCCCTACAACACAGTGTAAATACGTGAGTTTCTACGCTTGACAATTGTTGCCTCACGCAAACTGGCGCGACTTCAGCGAAGGCACAGCCTATCTCTCATGAGCAGGTCTACAGTATCTCTCTATGCTCTAATCTTCACGAGATAAACGGTACAATAGGGGGGAGATTCATCGCACCCGAGCTCAGAGCAGAGCAGAACAAAATATGTACCTCACCCAATTCTGTATGAATGTGGAGGTCGGTATCGAAATCATGCGCAGAATTCTATGAGCCATAAGTGTTGTTGTAAGTTGTAACTGACCTTCTCCCGCACCTCTCACAAGATGTTTCGCCCAAGCCTCTACGCTTCTCCTCGCCCTTCCCAATACTCGCACAAGGAAAAGCGAGAGAATGGTTCACAATGTTACTTCTCTGCGCCAAAGTTCGACTAGACTAATCATCTCGTGCGGCGTCGCGCCAACGCTATAATCCAACCTGACGATGAGTGAACTGTTTCTTGTACTGGGTGTACCCAGTGGGATTAGAAAACCGACATCGACCTCAGATGCATTGCCGATCGCTCATTGAGGTGTGGCTCACCACCCGTAAATGCCTTTCATCACCTGGTGATGTCCTTTCGATGATTACAGTACCCTTGTACAGTATTCAGGCTCTGACAGCTCCTAAGAGGATCATCTTCTATTTGGTGCTGACTGCTCAAATGAGGAATGAGGCTCATTGGATGTATGATATCACAAGCGTCTGGCCCAAGTGGGGAAGGCACATGTACAAGTGCATGATAGCTGGACGATGAGACCGCTATTAGAGGGTTGACTCCCTTGCAGGCTTGCAACCTGCGCCACAACGGCACAATATGTGGACAACTCGATTCATTACAGTAGGTCTCAATGGAAAGACATCAGCACGATACTGTAGTGCTTTAATAATTTTAATCTTAATTTCATATAGATTAAACGATATTTTGGATTTTGACAGACCGCATGTTCGTGTCCTCAAAACACGACCGCCGAGAGTGGAAGCCCGCCATGCGTCTTCACTATTTTAATACCCTGTAGTGATTAATTAGCCATAACGCTGCCTTCAAAACCCAACCTTCCTGCCTCTGTAAAGATTTTCAGTATACAAGAGAGGGGGGGGGGGGGGGGGGGGGGCCGAAAAAATGGCCCCTTTTTTTAGGGCCCCCCCCAAAAAAGGGCTCCCCTTTTCGGGGGGGGCCCCTTTTTAGG